AAAGCTAGTATGGTCGATTATCAAGATTAGCTGATGGTTTCTATGTGTTTGTGAAGAGATTATCAGGGCATTTTGTGTGTAAGGCTGTGCCTATATATATTGGGGTGTTGGTAACTAGCCTTTGGTATTACCAATAACGGTCTTGGTAATGCTGGTAGTTTGTGTGTTGGAACTTTACCTTCCAGAATCAAAGTTACTTTGGTGGTTCTTGTAAGGTTAAATTTAGTGAGGGAGTGAGTCAGTTTGGCTTTGAGTTGATTACAATGGTTACAACCGTCTGCTTGTTGTGGAATGGCTATTGTAAATGATGCAGATCTTACACATGTATCCCCGGTAAAACCATGAAGTGATGAAGCATGGGTAGTGTGCTACTGAAACCTAGAAACATGATGGGTGACAATGTGGGAATCAAACCCATGGTCATATTTTTGGGTACACCTAATGAAGGTAACTCTTCAAGCAAACTGCTTTGCAACTGTCCCTCTTCTACATTTGTGAACTATGCAGGGATAGTAATCTGGCTCCGTGCACTGGTAAAGATGGTTTAAGTTTGCCTTTTGGAATTTAGGTTTGCAAAGAAGAATACTACTTTCAATCCATATATGAAATCAGTGATTCTGAGTGAAGGCTGTTTCAAGATGAGGTGGAAAGTTTACAAGCGGAAGTTATATGTGAAAAGTTTGCTGCCTTCCTTTTCTTTGAGACTGATAATTGTTAATACCCTTTTGTGAATTGCCAGGTAACTGTTTGAATGACACTGTGCATCAAGCATATGCTCTATTTTCTCATAGGTGCTGATTGTTTAAACATCTACAGTTCAGCTTTTTAAGTTCTGTTTTTGTAAAGTAGCATCATAAGATTAATCTTCTGTACATGCATTCATAATACATGTTGTCAACGTGACATTTCCCAGACAGGTTTGACGCATGGAAAACAACTATACAATAAAGTACAATTGGTAGAATAAATATCAGTCTTGCTGACCTACCCATGAAATGACAGGTGAAAGATCAATAGCAACATCAATATGTTTGACAATACATGGTAGCCACAGAACTAATGAACTCTATTCAGCTTTTTGCACTCCGTTGAGCAATGTCGGAGGCGGGGGAAGTGAGGAGCTTCTCTGTCAGGCATCTGTTGGTCTCTATCAGGCTGGTACAGTAAGTCTTATCGATCCCTGGGGAAGGTTCGTTTGTGTAGGTTGTCTCGGAGGAAGACCATATAAGTGGTAGAATCAATTCCTTGTCTTAATAATTGATCCCAGGTCTAGATCAGCTTATTAATTGGTCTTACCAGTGATAAATAAGTCATCACAGAGTCGGGAGATACTGGCTGTTTGTATGGACATTGTTAGTCTTAGAGGGACAGATAATAGGATCATGTTGATGTTTAAACCCGACTTTAGATGTTGGTAATTATTTATTCATTTGGATACTGAAATGTAAAAAACATATGAATGAAATTATCAATATATGAAAATCAGTTATTCAAGAAGAGAAGCATTTGACTGTTGCCCAGTTTCCATGGTAACATACTGAACCTGAAATATGATGTGTCTCTTCTAGGTGAGGAGGCTTGGTGGTGAAGAGAATTCTAATGAGAATTTCATGAATATTGGAGGCAGTTATTATTGTTGTGTCTCTGAAAGGCATTATATAGCTGTGATTAGATAGACAGGCTAGTGGAGGTTGGATGTTGATCGAGGAGCCATCTTCCTCTGTGAGGAGAAATATCACCCATTTCAGTAAAAGAAAGGGATTCAAATTAAAAACAAACACATGAATTTACATGAATTTATGTTCGTGTAGAATAAAGAAATTACAATCAACATGACCAATGAAATCAGTCTGAAGTTCTAAGGTCTTCAGTACTTGTCACAGATCTGTCTAAGCCAGCATCCATTTGATTTTGCTGTGTGTGGGGGGTGGGGAAGAGGTTGAATAGTTTGTTCTGAAATGAATAGTTTGTGAGATATCCCCTAATATCCCATTTGTGCGTGAATAGTGAAATAAATAAATTGTTTGAAGATGCTCAGTAATGCATAAGTTATTGATGCAACTAGGACTGGGAGAAACATAGACTTTAATAAAATATAAATCATATTACTGATTGCAGTGTTTTACGTATGTACCACTTGCCATCAGCATCAGACTCTTAGCTCCAGAGATTTAGTGAACGGTGACTAAAATGACTGAGTGAGGGAATGGTTTTTCTGTATGCCAGTGTATGCCAGTGATTTGAAGCTTTTCCATGGCAGGGTGTACTTCATTGAATCTGGACCAGGAAAGCATGGGAATGAAAACGTAAGCACTGTTCCATGTTGCTTCGGCACATTGATACTCAAACAGCCATTGAGTGTGGACCCTAGATCCAGTATTTTAAAAAATAAATGTCAAAGTAAAATATCAATATTTAGTTGCAGACTTAACAAGGTATCAAATATCGCATAAGAGAAAGTTGATAGTTTGACACTTATATTAGCAGATTCCATCTCATTTGCATAAATGCACAATGTTCCTTGGACACCTGACCTGTTAATTTAATTGTAACACCTCCTCCCTACTTACAGTATGTGCTCAGAGAGTGGATCCCTGGCTTAGTGGCCCTCTTGATATGGCTTTGGGTCCTCTTTGGGTCCATTCCTTTACTGTTGAAGACCTCGTCCCTACTTACAGTGTGTGCTCAGAGTGTGGATCCCTGGCTTAGCGGCCCTCTTGATATGGCTTTGGGTTGATTCCTTTACTGTTGAACACCTCGTCCCTACTTACAGTGTGTGCTCAGAGTGTGGATCCCCGGCTTGGCGGCCCTCTTGGTATGGCTTTGGGACCATTCCTTTACTATCATCATCTTTACTTACAGAGAGAGTGGATGATGTCTGGTTCTATCTCGGCTGTGTCACTCAAAAAGATGTTAGTACTTATGTCATCTTATGGCATAAGGGCATAAGACAAGGGCTTGTCTGCTCAGTCAGTATACCCAACTATTGCTATTGCGGCCCTCTGAATATGGCTTTGGGTCCTCTTTGGGTCCATTCCTTTACTGTTGAACACCTCGTCCCTACTTACAGTGTGTGCTCAGAGAGTGGATCCCCGGCTTGGCGGCCCTCTTGATATGGCTTTGGGTTGATTCCTTTACTGTTGAACACCTCGTCCCTACTTACAGTGTGTGCTCAGAGAGTGGATCCCCGGCTTGGCGGCCCTCTTGATATGGCTTTGGGTTGATTCCTTTACTGTTGAACACCTCGTCCCTACTTACAGTGTGTGCTCAGAGTGTGGATCCCTGGCTTAGCGGCCCTCTTGATATGGCTTTGGGTCGATTCCTTTACTGGCACCTCGTTCCTACTTACAGTGTGTGTGCTCAGAGTGTGGATCCTCGGCCCTCTTGATATGGCTTTGGGTCCATTCCTTTACTGTTGAACACCTCGTCCCTACTTACAGTGTGTGCTCAGAGTGTGGATCCCTGGCTTAGCGGCCCTCTTGATATGGCTTTGGGGCCATTCCTTTACCGTTGAACACCTCATCCCTACTTACAGTGTGTGGTCAGAGTGTTGATCCCCGGCTTGGCGGCCCTCTTGATATGGCTTTGGGGCCATTCCTTTACTGTTGAACACCTCATCCCTACTTACAGTGTGTGCTCAGAGTGTGGATCCCTGGCTTGGCGGCCCTCTTGATATGACTTTGGGGCCATTCCTTTACTATCCTCATCTTTACTTACAGTGAGAGTGGATGATGTCTGGTTCTACCTCGGCTGTGTCACTCAAAAAGATGTCAGTACTTATGTCATCTTGACTCTGGGCATAAGGGCATAAGACAAGGGCTTGTCTGCTCAGTCAATATACCCAACTATTGCTGTGTCTGGGTGGGGTATTCATGTTAAACTAAGGCATGGTATTATTTTGAGCTAGCACAAATATAACCAGCATTAGTGTGGACCAGTACTAGCAACAACTCACAAACACACATGCATGCACATTGTTATGTAAGTGCTGTAACATTAACAAGAGGTTAAGCCCATTTCCACCTCACCCTCGCTATCTCCATTGACGTTGTAATCTGGCTGTTCAAACGAACGAGAACAAATTTCAGTGATATCATCTTACTAATGTGCATGGAATTAGCAATAGGCGTTATAGGCACTCCCACTCACCAACTGCTGTTGATAACCGTCACAGAGATTGTGTACTTGAAACATAGGCAAATATTGATAAGACCGACTTGTGCAAACACTAGTCTGTCATATGGGGACGGAGAGGCTGTGAGTAATGTTTCAAATGGTCACACAGTATTTATGATTCTCTATGCCAATAAACCAGATAGGTGTGTGGTCATTGATATGTGAGACTCGGTAATGTATGTCTGTTGTCTTTCCAATTGTCTATAACAACAAAGCTAATCAGTGTTTATGAGGCTGATTTTCTTGGTTGGAAAAGAGTTTGACGGAAGACCTTTTGTTGATTGAAATAGTTATCTGTGTGTGCACACTGGCTAAAGTCTACAGCCAATTTAGTCTAGCTGCAGCAGCATGCAACACTTCACTAGCAAGTACATTTTTTGCTGCCAAAGTCAGTTACTACAAACTCACTGATAACAATCTCAGTGGACACTTAACATCTGCCGTTAAGGTAGTTTTAATTTAGATAATGATCTTCTGATCAAATATATTTTTGTAATTACATGGTTTTTGTATTTCGCATAATATTTTACATTTCAATGTCACACATAAACTATGCATGTTGTAGTCATCACTTGTTTTATACATAATACATTGAAGATTGGATCAATATGTCTTTAGTATGTATGTCTTGCCAAAGGATTGGCACATGCTGGTTAATTAAGACCTGATTGATATTTCTCATAACAGAAAATACTCGTGGTCAGTCCTCTGTCGTGTCTTTGTGGTATTGACTGGATAACCAAGTCACAATATGTCAATTCAGAGCTGAAATGTCAGCTGTGTGTCCTGTACTACAACCATTGTGACCTGTTCCTGTTTTCCAGATTGCTGTTCTCGATGTGGATATATGTGGACCCTCCATTCCAAGAATCATGGGCCTGGAAGGAGAGCAGGTGAGTCTGGTGCTTAGATCCAAACTCATTCCACAAAGAGATCCTACGGCTATCGTAACTCCCATACTCTTATGTTGACTGACAACAGGTGTAGTGCTAAGTTCGCTTATTTGGTTGACACATGTCATTGTATCCAAAGGCATAGGTCGATGCTCATGCTGTTGATCACTGGATTGTCTGGGTCCAGATTCGATTATTTACAGACCGCTGCCATATAGCTGGAATATTGCTGAGTGCAGAGTTAAACAACAAACAAACAAAAGTCCATTTGGGGTCCCAGAATTCAACACTGTACCAGGTGTACACTATGCCTGTGACCTTTCCAGTTTTCAGGGTTCTTGTGTTACACCATACTGTATCCATGGTAACTGTTTTTGTCATGTTGGTTCCAGGTTCATCAGAGTGGGTCTGGATGGTCACCAGTGGTAAGTGACCACATGTACTTCTCACACTTTGTAACACATTTGCATGTTACACAAACAGCACTGATAGGCCTGAATATATACTGAGGGAAAAAATTAAGGGATCACATGAAAGGGCAAGTGTTCCTTTATTTTTTTCCAAGGTTTCTTCACAAGTTTTGTATCGCATAGCTTGTGAAGAAACCTGGAAAAAAATAAGGGAACACTTGTGCTTTCATGTGATCCCTTATTTCTTTCCCTCAGTATATTTGCCAACATTTAAATTTCATTCCAAGTTCCTGAAGCCGAAGCTGAAACTGACCTGAACTGAAGGGTTAGGACAAGGACCCCTTTACTTCATAATGTAACGTGTGCAGTGTCATATGTGTTAGATGTGTAATAAGAAACATTAATCTACAAATAACTTATGATGGGACTCAACCCTACAAATGTACTAGAATCTGTACTTTACTGTACATGTTACATTTGACCAGTTTCTAAATGGCATTGCGTATTCAAAGGATTAAACTGACTGTTACTTGGTAAAGGGTAGTGGTGGTCTGATTAATTGAAATAATCGAAGATTTGTCGCAGTGACTAAACGACCAACCAATCGATCATAATTTCTCATAATCGAACACAAACAATTCTGGAACACTTGTTTTCATTAACAATATTTTTCAAATGGTTGGTTTTGTCTGTTACATTTCGTAAGCACTACAAGCTCGTTTCAAGTCATGATTGAAGATTCCAAGAAATTTATGTTCCTAACATACTAGTCATCCTTTAAAGATGTGAAATTTTGCCCCAAAAACCCCAAAGAACTACATGTCTTTTTCCTTATTTTTATGTGCATTAACAAATTTCATAAATGACGCTTACCAATTATTTTCGATGATTGATCGGTAGTAATGAACCAATCATCAATTATGAGATTTTAACCAATTCCCTACACTAGTAAAGGGACTAATGAACTAAGTACTATTGTGCTGACACCCACATGTACCAGCCAGGCATGACTAACCATTAAACATTGATGAAGGCTGTGAGAGAAGGTGTTCAGTTGCCTGGTACCTAGGTACCCATGTGTGTTGGGTATGCACTCAGTAACCATTGTTGATAGACCATCTCACAGCCAGTCAGCTGTACAGGATCTGGATAAATCCATACAAATTATCTCCTTGATAAACAATGTAGACAATGCAGTATTGATGTTGTGCAGGGGACTGTGTTTGGATGCTGCTTGTTTACCTTTTAGATGTGGAATATTACATTGCTTCATTGTGGCATTGTCATGTTTATGGATCTTGTCATTCATCAATAGTTTCAGATAGGTTCATAGTGTAGGATGTTGATTGATTTCAGCAATCCTCTAGTCCAAAGCCTGAGACTAGTAAAGTTCCGTTTGTTACAGTAAGCCCCAGGTAATAGTAGTCCATATATTGCCCCTATCTTGCTCCAAAAATGAGGGCCGGTGTGGTAGACTTGTGGTTACAGAATTTTCGCTAGTCATGCTGAAGACCCGGGTTTGATTTCTCACACTGGTAAAATGTGTGAACCCATTTCTGGTGTCCCTGGCTGTGATATTGCTGGAATATTGCTGCAAGCGGCATTAAACCAAACTTGCTCACTATCATGGTGTGAACATAAAAACAAAATTGCAGAAGGTCTGGTAATGTTGATAAAGCTCCATCTCGACATGGATGAACCTTGCAACATGATTCATGAACTAGTTCACTAGATATGATTTACAAATGTCAGTATCAAAACCTATTAGTGGTGGTCCGATTAGTTGAAACAATCGACGATTGGTCGCAGTGACTAAACAACCAAGCAATCGATCACGTTTTCTCATAATCGAACACAAACAATTCTGGAACACCAGTTTGCGTCATCAACATTTTTCACAAGGTTGGTTTTGTCTGTTATATTTCATAAGCAGTACAAGCTCGTTCCATGTCAAGATTGAATTTATCTTAAAGACTCCAGGAAATTTATATTCCTAACATACTAGTCATCCTTTAAGATGTGAAATTTGCAAATGCATTTTGTGCAATTTGCAAAAAAAGAGAAAGAACTACATGTTTTTTCTATATTTTTTGTGCATTAACAAACATAACCATGAGAATTTGATAAATGATGCTAACCAATTATTGTCGATGATTGATTGGTTGTAATGAACCAATCATCAATTGTGAGATTTTAACCAATTCACAACACTAAAACCTATAATGCTTAACTCCACAGAACCATTTCTTAATTTACTGAGGAGTTGTGGACATGTCAGTTCAAGACATTCACACATGTCGCAGACATACACATTATTCATTCAGTATCTCCTTAGATTTCAGATATTCATGAAATATAATATGTTACTGAGACACTGAATATTGAGTTGCCATGGTTACCAGAGACAAATGGATGTTTGACAACAACATCGGGATAGAAATTAATTGTTTTTCAAGTTTGCCTTGGGGCACTCATATTTTTTTAATGTACCTCAAACATAGTTTACCAAGGTTTCGATGATGATAGAAAATGCATTTCTACCCCAGAATTAGTGCTCTGTGACAGTACACTGTCGGTGTGAAACTGACAGTAAATATAGTATTACATCAAGTCATCCTGTTCTATTTCGGATTGTCTGGGGTTATATTGTTTGGTAGACTATCATCTAGTCTCTGAAATGAACATATTTTACAGAAAAAACAGTTCCTAAATTGTAATTATAAAGTAGATTTAAAAGGAGCCCAGAGACTTTCTTCATTTTGTGGAAATCTTGCCATATGTTCTAGACTTGCATGAGCTTTCTTGAATATATCTGTTTCAGGGTCTGAATGACAGTCTAATTGTTCTGCTGTACTCAGCACTGTGTGTTGCCTTGTATTCGTCACATCTTTATGACAATCCTCTTGTTATGTCCCCTCTTGAGCCAGTTACATAACCGAAGACATTTTGTTTACCGTCTCTGCCTGAAGGACATCTAAATTCCTGGCATATTTTGCCAAATAGACTGTCTTTATTTTTATTGTAAGCCAAGGAGGTTTGTATTTCATGGGGTGCCAGTATTCTTTGCTTCAAACTTTTCAAGACGGTTCTTCTTTTACCTGATCCCCATCTTTGTCCATGCTGTTGCTGATGAATACATGCAATTGGTTTATTGAGGTTTTCACAATGTTTATCAGAAAGTCTGTTAAAACCCACCCAAAATCTTATTTGTACTCGTAGATTTGTCTGTTTCACAGCTTGTTAAAAGTCTAAAAAGTCTCCAGTTTTAGCCCTGATAATATTGATCTACTTCATGTCTGTCACAAAACCATATTTCCCACCATGCTCTGTAGAAACAAACATGGCCACAGAAGTCAGTATTGAGCAAATGAACTAATTACCTTGGCGTAATGTTATAATCTTCATGTGATTGCAGTCAAACAAGTATTATAAATTACTACCTGAAAGAAGATGTAATGGTATAGTTGTTTTATATCCTTGAAATTGTGAACTTGCAATAAGGGCAGTTTGTATCAAAGTCAGTGGGAGTGTGTTGTGTGATTTGAACACTTGTATGTAACCATGGTGACCTAATTGAATTCTGTACCATGTACGCACAACCTTACCCACACAGGTTCAGAGATTATATTGGAAAAAGTTACTAAAAGGAAAATAAATTTGAAAAATTTGAGTCAGATAAATTGTCTGATATGAATGAGGCAGAGAAACTCCTAAGTTTAGTCATTGATAAAGTAATCTAGAAAGTATGCAAGTTTTCAGATATTATTGATGTTATTCTATATGGTCTGAATGCGAGACTATAATGAATTCTGCACTTTCATGCAAGTTTTCAGATATTATTGATGTTATTCCATATGGTCTGAATGCGAGACTATAATGAATTCTGCACTTTCATGCAAGTTTTCAGATATTATTGATGTTATTCCATATGGTCTGAACGCGAGACTATAATGACACCAAAGTTTACAGATTTTCATCACTTTTCAAAAGATGCCGGACATTACATGTAGCATCTTTTCAGTTTCCTTTGGTAAACACTCCACTGTTTTGAGCGAGAAGCATACTGTTCCTCATTATTACACTTTTTACAAGGCAAAGCTGAGAAAATTGACAGAAGGGGGGTGCCTATTAAAATCAAATGCATGTTATATTTGTTTTTAGATATTGAATGGGAGTAAACAAACATAGTTCAACGTGGATAAAACAAAACCTGTATTGGTGATAATTACAGGTCAACATCATACCTTTTCTGTGCAGTTGTCTTTTCTTAAAAAGCCAGAGAAAATACTGAGGAATTAAGTAATGTCATACTAGTACTTTTCAGGCCTTTGTGGTGAATGCTCATAAGGTTATATTGGAAGTTGGTCAGGGGTGCTTATTGGACCTGAACGCTTAATACAATGAATATGGTAATTGTGTTTTATGCAATGAATATGGTAATTGTGTTTTATGCAATGAATATGGTAATTGTGTTTTATGCAATGAATATGGTAATTGCATTCACTGAGCTGACAAAATACCATGTCATATTATTAAATGTCAGGGCATATATAATTTTATGCGACCCGCCTTTTGGGGTTATACTGCTAGCTGGTGAGATAAAACCACATATACCCCTAGAGACACTTCTAACACAATTCTGTCATTGTATAAGAATTAAAGAACTGAAAATCGATAGTAAACAGTTATTTGATTGAGCTGTGGATGTCTGGTGGTGTGTCATCTGACTTTCATACTGTTGTAAACAATTTGCAGCTTTTTGCTTCATGGCAGGGTGCAAGAGATTCATTCTCTGCTCAGAAATATATTTCACTCCTAGGCGTGATACATACCAGAACTGAAAAGGTAAATAATCTTGTATAGTGATGTTTAATTGCAAATTTGGCGTCTTTACTGACAAAGTCGTCTTCTCTTGTTCGCTCACGTGAAGTGATACAATGTTGATTTCTTACCCCATGACGAAAGAGTAACCTGTAGATAAGCCAACCCCTGCTATAGACTGTTTTTTTGGTCTTCCAAATTTGGCTTATCAACAGTAATATACGGTAATATTTTGAAAGGAGGATATGAACCAATATGATGTCAACAAAATGTCTTTGTGATCTCCATGGAATATTCTAAACGTAGACACCCAAAGATTGAAACTGCAAGCTTCAAGACAGTAAGTAACATGTTGGCTATGTTAATTGGGGTTATGCTTGTGACGGCTGGTAGTCCTTGTGAATTTTATTTCGGCAATCATACTAATTATAGATAAGTAACCTGTCGAATACTGACATTATGATATCGCTCAAACTAGTTTTATGAAATTAATATATAGAGACAATGTTTCAATTGTACCCATGGTGCTAAATTCATCAAAACTTGCATTGGGCTCAAGTAATAGTAATGATAATAATAGAATAGTTTATTACTGTGTCATGTTGTTCCAGAATATATACAACAGTAAAATATGTATGTATGTAACAACCGGGCCTAAAAGGCACCACATTTTAAACGTTGCTATAAATACCAAAAATAAAAAAAATAAAAAGAGAGAGTGGTGCCCAGTCTTGTATTTTGAGTCCAGTTTATTCCTGCTTCATCTGAATCATTATCATAACAATGCATTTAGAAACATATCCAAACTGACAGACCAGTTTCAACCCTCGTACACTCCTATGTTTGACCTGTAATTGTGTGTTCAAAACCCTGAGGGTCCCTCTCTCTGATAATGTATCTGCATTTTTTCCGATCCTTTTCACTGAAATGATAAACTGTTTAGACCTGCATCAGTGTGGGCTTTAAGCTGACATACTGTGATAGAGATGGTATATACTTGGCTTTGTACTTGAACTGAAGTGAATGCAGAGTTCAAACACTAATTCTTGGCAATCAGAATTTAAAACAAAATTCCCAATTTTTAACCAAATACTGAATTTTCTTTCCATTTTGCATGCCATGGACACTTAGTTTATAATCCTACATAAATCCCACTCACGTGCCGTGACTGTGAAATTTTCATTCTATTGATTATTTGTTACTAAAAGACATGTCAAGATCAAGCTGAATGAAATCTAGTTACATTGGTCACATGAAACTAGATTAATGTTAGTCAGCAGACCTTGAAGAAAGCTGTGGTTTAGGCAGGAATGTGAGTGCCCATCATTATTCATAACAGCATGTGTTGTTGAAACACACATAAAATCTCTTCATTTACCACTGTACCACATGTTGAGGAGATTGTATTTTGCACTTCAGACGATTGAGCTTTGGGTTCAAAAGTCGTCAATGATCTTGCTGGATCACAAATGCCATTTCTAAAATCAATGTTTGATGGGACATCCTTATTGGACTGAAGAACAGTTCACGGAATGTTCAAACACTTCAAACGCAGATAATTACCAGATGCACGTGGCCTTGGTGGACGTTAAATAACAGATGCATATTGAGACATTTGTTCAGTTATGTTATGGATAGGACATCTGCATGTGATTTTCATGCATGTTTCTGTTATATAGACATGTTTCGTGATCCTACACGGTGGTGTAGAGTCGAACGAACATCTGTGTGTTAGATTTTAGATATTTCAACATTTATTAGATGATTCGGTCATAATAGGATCTTAGTAAGATATTGCAGCTTTCGTGCAGTGTCATTAGTATGTATATAAATTAACAATTGTGGGAAAATAAAAAGTGGGTTAAACATTTAGAATTTTTGTTTTCATTCCACTGCAAAACACTTTGGATGACAATCAGCATGATCAGTCAGTGTCATAGAAACTTAAGCTTAATGAACCCCTTGTGAAAGTATTTGTCAAATGGTCTAACAAGTCAATATGATGGTTTAACTCTTAGCTGATATCATTGCTGATTGTATTATTTCTTCAGTAAAACCTCACTCACTCACTCACTCACTCACTAACTCACTGGATTGTGAATGGAATGTTGTTTATGGTTTGATATGGACAATGCGCTAGGTTTATCTGATGGCTTCCCCTTCAGTATGTGAGTGACAACCTTGCTGTGATGTCTGTGGGCTTCCTGCTGGCCCGGGCCAGAAGATGCTGTTATTTGGCGAGGACCGAAGAAAAATGGTGATGTTTAATTTTGGACTTTAAAACTTTTATTTAATCATGTGTATTAATAATTTGAACAATACAAACCTTCCCTTATACAGTGAACAGAGATTTTGCAAGAGCATGATTCGTGTGATTGGCACAAATATGATTACGTGTATACCAATGCATTTACAATGCATTCTGAGTCAAATGTAAAGAAGAAAGATAATGAGACCCACATTTGAATTGCCCAGTGCAGTGTATTTCTACTTATGGGCACCATAATTACTTGTAAATATATCACAAATTTGTTTGTCATTAGCAAGATTATTATTATTAAGATCAAGCTTGATGTAAGCAAAGTCATGCTCATGAATGTTACATTTATCATGAAAATTGAAGAAAATTGAAGTAAATGAATTTAAATATCCCTACAATACATTTTGAAACTTAAATTTGCACTTGCCCAGAATCAATCTTTTCATCCTAGTTAAAATGCATTTGTCAGAAACACATCTATGATCATATTTGTGACTTAAAAACCCTCCCCCACTAATTAAATGGAAATCACCCTTTTCTGGAACTGTGGAACTGAAAGAGGGGCCCCCACATATTTTAAATTTCTGCCCAAATCTGGTGGTTGGGTAATCATACTGAGGTACAATTTGACAGTTGATTAGTATAAGCATTGATTTACCACTAATTGTAGTGGTCAGTAACTGAAGATTGTGAATCAACAGTGTACTGCATTGTCAGTGGGTTGATTACATGTCCATTGTTAGATTCACAGCAGATGCTTCTGCTTGAGCTTCAACAGTTTGATACTGACACCAGGCTAGCTATTCTCGAAACGTTCGTAGCCCTACGAACTTCTTAAGCCCATTCTTAACACATTGGCTACGATCAAAATTACGAATTCTTAGGGCTAGGAACGTTTCGAGAATAAGGGCCCAGAAGCTGTTGATGTTTACATCCCTTGCTTTAACAAATCATTTGGTGTAGCTGTTTATTTGTTTCTGACATGGGAACATTTTCATTTTATGATCAAACAGGCATGATCAAGCAGTTCTTGCGAGACGTCGACTGGGGTGAGATCGACTACCTGGTGATCGACACTCCCCCAGGGACATCCGACGAGCACCTGTCTGTTGTACAGTATCTCAGTGAGACGAACGTAGATGGTGCTGTGCTGCTCACCACACCTCAGGTGAGATCTTGACAAATGCAGTCTGCCACGTAAACCATTAATTAATGTTTATATTCAAAATAAATTATAGTCCATATATCAAAAAAGAATCGACCCATTTTGGTTGGTATTCTGGGTTAGAATAAGTTGAGTACATGTGCACCAGGAAATGTGTCTGATGGATGTGTTTGTTCCAGGAAGTATCCCTAATGGATGTCCGGAAGGAGATCAACTTCTGTCACAAGGTCAAACTGCCCATAATTGGACTGGTAGAGAACATGAGTGGATTTGTCTGCCCCAGCTGTACGGTAGGTTGTCTCCCCTTTGTTTCTGTCTAACATTACACATTGTCCTATGAACGAAATATTCTCCAGTGCGACGTTAAACCCAATATCACCTCACCTCACCTTTGTCTAACATTGTAATGATGTAGAACTATTTTCTTTTCCAGTAAAAATACAAACAGGGTTAACAGGAATAAGATGTGATTATATTTCATATAAATATTGGGACACTTTTATTTTAGCTATGATGCTTTATGCCTTGAAAATATCTCTGCCTCAACAACTTCTATAATACCAACACTTATTTTCAACTTTCGATTAAGTGAGTAGCTATGTGTGAAGGGAGGTAACTCTTTCTGAATGTCAATGCTTTAAACAGATATAGTCCCATAGTACTGGCACTGACAGAGTTATGATATTATTACCCTTATTATTATAATATCTTTCTTTTCCTACCTATACAAATTTGTGTTACCATGGTTACCATCCATCGATTGGATAAAGCAATTTGCATCCAGACTTAACAGTGTGTGGAATGGTTTTGCTCTATGTATGTGGCTATGTCAGGCTGTGTTTAGAGGGTGTGTTGTTTCATACATAAACAGTGTAGTTGTTGATTATTTCACCAGAAGTCCTCCGAGATCTTTGCCCCTACCACAGGAGGAGGAGAGAAGATGGCCCAAGAGACGTGCATCCCATTCTTGGGAAAACTGCCTCTCGACCCTCGCATTGGTAGGTATGGGAAAGCACAGTCAGTCTGCCGAGAACAGCTATTTAATGATTATGGTTTTTATGTCTATGGAGGTATGATAAGCATAAAATACAAAAATCATAATATCATGTGTCGTTTGCCATGGAATCACTTGCAATTTTCTTGTTACAATATGAGATGAATGTATATGGTATAGTGTTGCTTGTGTTACAGCTGTTCATACAGCAACAACCGCCTCCGTGGTGTAGTGGTTAAAGCATCTACCCGGAGAGCTGAAGGTCGCGGGTTGATCACCGGCCGCGTCATACCAAAAGACATTAAAATATGGTACTTGTTGGTCCCTGCCTGGCGCTAGGCATTATTGGGTACAACAAGGATTGGTCGGCTTGGAGTCAGTATAATGTGGTCTGAGTGGGGCATTCATGCTTCACTGCGGCATGGTATCTCAGTGAGCTAGCAATATAAAAGCAGCTTAGTCTGGGTTAGTACAAGCAGCCACACATACACACGCATGCACATCATCATAATATAAAGTATGACGTTAAACCCCATTTCACCTCACCTCATACAGCAACATTAATGTGCAGATAAATTCAATCACATTTGTTTGGCAATGCCATATCATACCTCCTCAATAGTTGCCATGTTAGAAAAGAAATGTAAGTCAATGAATTTTGGTCAAGTGAAATAATTTGTGAGTCTGCTGAAAAACATTTAATTCTTGGCCACATACACCATTGTGCAGCAAGCCTAATGAAAATGAATCTTTTCCTGGGTTATCATGTCACCCTGCCTCATGGATATGATCAAATATGCATACGGTCCCAGGGACAATGAATCCGTATTTCTCTGATCTTGGTTTGTTGAAGCACAGAATGGGCTATGTTGTCCTGCTATATTTTAGATATCAATTTCATCTGAGATTGAATGTGTGAGTTTCTTTTGTGTCCAGGTAAATGTTGTGACGAGGGGAAGTCATTCCTTGAGGAAGTCCCTGATTCCCCAGCTACCCAGGCCTTCTCACAGATCATACAGAGTAAGTTCACCGACAATACTGTCACATTGTACAGAGTAAGTACACCGACAATACTGTCACAGATTATACAGAGTAAGTACACCGACAATACTGACACAGATTGTACAGAGTAAGTACACCGACAATACTGTCACAGATTGTACAGAGTAAGTACACCGACAATACTGTCACAGATTGTACTGAGTAAGTACACCTACAATACTGTCACCGATTGTACAGTCCGTTTGAGTTAGAAACGGACCGATTGCATTCATTAGCCTGTGCTGTGCCGTCTCCATCCTTTCTCGCACACCTGGCTGTCCCTTTCTCTGCACTCCTCCCTCGTAACAAATAGTGAACTGTGTCAACATTTTCAAATATACGAAAGCTGTTGGGTATTAGTAAATGATAAACGTGTACTATTTATATTTATGTGGCAATTTTGTACAATGATAAAATTTACAATTCATCGGTCTGTCTCTGACTCAAACGGACTGAACAGAGTAAGGACACCGACAATACTGTCACAGATTGTACAGAGTAAGGACACCGACAATACTGTCAGATTGTACAGAGTAAGCACACAGACAATACTGTCACAGATTGTACAGAGTAAGGACACCAACAATACTGGCACAGATTGTACAGAGTAAGTACACCGACAATACTGTCACAGATTGTACAGAGTAAGTACACCGACAATACTGTCACAGATTGTACAGAGTAAGACAATACTGTCACAGATTGTACAGAGTAAGTACACCGACAATACTGACACAGATTGTACAGAGTAAGTACACCGACAATACTGTCACAGATTGTACAGAGTAAGTACACCGACAATACTGTCACAGATTGTACTGAGTAAGTACACCTACAATACTGTTACCGATTGTACAGTCCGTTTGAGTTAGAAACGGACCGATTGCATTCATTAGCCTGTGCTGTGCCGTCTCCATCCTTTCTCGCACACCTGGCTGTCCCTTTCTCTGCACTCCTCCCTCGTAACAAATAGTGAACTGTGTCAACATTTTCAAATATACGAAAGCTGTTGGGTATTAGTAAATGATAAACGTGTACTATTTATATTTATGTGGCAATTTTGTACAATGATAAAATTTACAATTCATCGGTCTGTCTCTGACTCAAAACGGACTGAACAGAGTAAGGACACCGACAATACTGTCACAGATTGTACAGAGTAAGGACACCGACAATACTGTCACAGATTGTACAATGTACACCAATACTGTCACAGATTGTACAGAGTAAGGACACCGACAATACTGTCACAGATTGTACAGAGTAAGGACACCGACAATACTGTCACAGATTGTACAGAGTAAGGACACCAACAATACTGTCACAGATTGTACAGAGTAAGGACACCGACAATACTGTCACAGATTGTACAGAGTAGGGACACCGACAATACTGTCACAGATCATACAGAGTAAGGACACCGACAAAACTGACACAGATTGTACAGAGTAAGGACACCGACAATACTGTCACACATTGTACAGAGTAAGGACACCGACAATACTGTCACAGATTGTACAGAGTAAGTACACCGACAATACTGTCACACACAGAGTAAGGACACCAACAATACTGTCACAGATTGTACAGAGTAAGGACACCGACAATACTGTCACAGATTGTACAGAGTCAGTACACCGACAATACTGTCACAGATTGTACAGAGTAAGGACACCAACAATACTGTCACAGATTGTACAGAGTAAGGACACCGACAATACTGTCACAGATTGTACAGAGTAAGTACACAGACAATACTGTCACAGATTGTACAGAGTAAGGACACCAACAATACTGTCACAGATTGTACAGAGTAAGTACACCGTGACAATACTGTCACAGATTGTACAGAGTAAGTACACAGACAATACTGTCACAGATCATACAGAGTACGTACACTGACAATACTGTCACTGATTGTACAGAGTAAGACAATACTGGCACAGATTCATGAATGTAATTCCTAGTTATTATTCTGCATATTACTCATTGGTGTTTGAAGAAAGAAAATACAGAAAAGCATATGAAATTTTGGCTTCAGGTTTCAAACCTACAGGGAAATTTTACTGAAAGCTTAAGGTGGCACAATGTAATCAAATTGTGATGTCCGTAATCATTATACACTTTTCCCATCAATTAAGCACTTTGACAACATACAAATTCAAAATTACCACACATGATTTGGAGTCACTCAAATTTATATGTGCAAATATATCTGAAAATTATAACACACAACATTTCTACGACATAATATATTCTTCAACTGAAATCCAAACAATCATTGTGACATTCATATGACATTCTTATATCAACAGTGGATTTTTCCGGACAATACAAAAAGTTCTTGCCTAATTGTTATGCACTTCAAAACTGCCTGAAAAATGAAGGAAAAAATACTTTAATGTTTCACGTCCTAAACATCACTGTTCCAGAAATCACTGAGCATTGCAGCAAAGCAGCTGTGAACCGAAGTGTGGAGACCGGTGAGAAGATGGACACTAGCTGATAATACTGAGCCTAGGATACTGACATATCTGGACAACACATGATCCTCACATCACTCCTGTGTCACGGACAATATAGGTGATATCAACATGCTTCCTACATGCCCATAGATGGTACTGCTGCTTGCTGGCCACACAGCACGGTGTCTGACAGGGAAATATACATGATATTAACACAGATGGCATAACTCGAGATATGTAGGTGTGCTGTCATGATGAGAACAGATTATTTTTGTTTCTCTGGTTTACAGATTGCTTCATGCACTGGTCTAACTGTGGGAACCAAATAGAATAAAATAAGCCTTATTTTGTGTTTTGAAATAGTCTTATGACTTTCTCTTGTCAGGTGAGGGGCGCTGGGGTAGCCTAGTGGTTAAAGCGTCCGCTCGTGACACGGAAGACCCGGGTTCGAATCCCCACATGGGTACAATGTGTGAAGCCCATTTCAGGTGTCCCGCGCCGTGATGTTGCGGGAATATTGCTAAAAGCGGCGTAAAACTAAACTCAGTCAGTCTTGTCAGGTGAGCAGAGTTAATAAGCTTGTCTTGTCATTCTGTGTAACTTATTGTATACACAATTTATTCAGGTTTCGATTTAACCATGCAAAGACATGCACCAGTGCAACCAAATATTAAAACATGCAACGTAATATTTATGTCTACATGCACCAAGTGCATGGTGAAGATTTTCAAATTTCTTTCTGACTAGCCTTAACTTTTCCACAGAACATCGAACTGTGAACACTTTCAGTACCTCTGACTGAGCTTATTTACCTTACTATATCACTGATTTTGTAAGTTGTCGCTTTCATTGGCTGGTCATCATCATACGACTGTGTTCTCTTCAAGATTATGCGTGGTGCCCTTGTGCAAGTTCAGTCAAGTTCCTTAAATTGAGCTGTTATTTATTGTGAACAGTAGGGCTGTGTAGTGTATTCATGAGTATTGCAATGTATGTGTTGCAGGTATCTGTATTGCAATGTACGTGTTACAGGTATCTGTATTGCAATGTACGTGTTACAGGTATCTGTATTGCAGTAAACGTGTTACAGGTATCTGTATTGCAATGTACGTGTTACAGGTATCTGTATTGCTATGTACGTGTTACAGGTATCTGTATTGCAGTATACGTGTTACAGGTATCTGTATTGCAGTGTACGTGTTACAGGTATCTGTATTGCAATGTACGTGTTACAGGTATCTGTATTGCAGTGTACGTGTTACAGGTATCTGTATTGCAATGTACGTGTTACAGGTATCTGTATTGCAATTACAGGTATCTGTATTGTATTGTGTTACAGGTATCTGTATTGCAGTGTAATGTTACAGGTATCTGTATTGCAGGTATCTGTAATTGTTACAGGTAATCTGTACATATACGTGTTACAGGTATCTGTATTATGATACGTATTGTGATATATTTGGAGCTTATACATTTGGCAGTGATTGACAACGATTGTACATGTAGATCCTGTTTTCTTCTAACTGAAGTTTGCATTACAATGTCAAGTTAAGCAGGGTCAGTTGATGCCATGTTTTAGTCATACTTACAGGGGAGATAATGTGAGTGAAGCGTCACCTTTGTGTTTGATGTTATTAATCACTTCTGAAGGGACACATCGATTATGAATGACTATGCCATGTAGATTCTAGGTTAAACAATACTTTTAATTATGAAACTTGATATATGCTAGTTTTACCCAATACCCAAAATGTTGCAATACATATCTTTTTAAGATTCTTATTGCAATATACTGGTAAGCAGGTAATACCTTGTGAACAAGTAAATTTCCATTAAATTGAAATGATGTTGAATTAAATGTGGTAGCTGAAAAATACAATGCTTTTTAGATCATATGGTTTTTCCTCTTCTTGATATTTTGAGGGGTTGAAGGAATCTAGTAAACCAAATGAAAAGATTGTCTGGCCTAACTGTGATGTTTTATAGTGCTGAAGTATCAGTATGTATGCAAGTGTGCTTGAAATGCTGTACGTAGCAAATGTGAATGTCAGTACTATAAGTAGCAAGATCAGAGTTGTTTTTAATTTAAGTTTTTGTGAGGAAAACAAATGCATAGATATGTATTACCATGTTCTGTGAAGTGGTGTATGCCATAAAGCTGATCGTGCCACGAGGACAGTGCTCACATATATCACAGTAGTGGATCTGCTTGGTTTGATTAAGAAATGTTCATACAAAAGCATTTTTCAGCAAATCAGATGATACATACTAAGCTGAAAGAGATAAGAAAGAAGTGACAGTGTTCTGGTGCACAAAATCATTTACTGTTAGATGTATGTAAGTTGGTTCTGTGCTGTATTGCTTCACTGTTGCTTGACAACGGTATAGGGGTGGTGGGGTAGCCTAGTGGTTAAAGCGTTCGCCTGTCACGAAGCGCCCGGGTTCGATTCCCCACATGGGTACAATGTGTGAAGCCCATTTCTGATGTCCCCTGCCGTGATATTGCTGGAATATTGCTAGAAGCGGCGTAAAACCAAACTCACTCACTCACTTGACAACGGTATAAGAATCTATACCGAAAGTTTGCATCATAATACAATAAGGAAGTTGTGATCCATAAGGCATCATACCTTTCTGGAACTCCATTCCAGTGTGTGGCTGTGGTGTTGGTGTAAGGAGCTTTTTGAAATGAATGTGCACCAAACGTCACACTGGGTGTACACTCAAAAGAAGGGACCCTGTTCCTTCATATTAAGACAGATTAACTATAGTGATATCAACAAACTGGGTATCTCAGAACTTCCCATGAGTAGTATAAGTTGGAGGATGTATGACAGCATGCACAGGGATGGCGCTGGATGTCATTCCTTTACACCTCCATTGTTGTGTTCTTGAAGTAAGTATGTTGCCAACTGTTTAAATTAGGGGTGTCGCGATACGAGAATGTATCGCTGCATCGATACATTTTACTGACGATACGATACGCGATACATGCTTGCGTGTATCGATTCCTATTTTAAAACTTTATCGATTCAAATTTTTATGCTATATCCATCTCCTTCAAAGTCTTGATAGTAAAATTATACTAGATCGCTCCGATAAATAGATGTAGCTAGCTTTACTTAAAAAATAGGTTGGAAACTAACAGCTTTTGTGATTGGCTAGACTATTTTGATGGACCAATCTTAAAATCGTGATACGTATCGTATCGTGAGATTGGTGTATCGTGACACCCCTAGTTTAAATTATATTTGTACGAAAATGCCAATGTCCCAAAGGCTGAACACAAGTGGGACTCTGGTCTTGCTACTGTAATGTCTAAGAATGTTGATTTACTCCTAGTCTCTGTTGCTTCCAGTGGCAGCACATGTAGACTGTACAGTTTTAGTGACACAGAACAATATTTTGTACATAATAAAAAATAAAATGTCCCAGATCCTATGATTTGTTTGTTTTGTTGTTGTGTGAGGGGACCATGAGTTACATGAGTGTTTAGGTCTCCTGACATTGGATTACATTGTCAATGTCTGTAATAGTTACACCCGTGACGATGCGGGTTAGAATTGATCTTCAGTAACCCAAGACTAGAGGTGACTAATGGGATTGGGTGGTCAGGCTTGCTGACTTGGTTGACATGTCATCTTATCCCAGTTGCTTAGATCGATGCTCATGCTGTTGATCACTGGATTGTTTGGTCCAGACTCGATTATATACACACCGCCGTGACGTCACAGACCTGGAATATTGTTGAGTGCGGCGTTAAGCATCATCCGTGGCAATGAAACACTTATCCGCCTCTTCTAGAGCTGATCTTCCTCTATAGCTGGAATATTGGTGATTGCAGCGTAAAACTAAACTCAGTCAGTCAGTCACTCACTGGAGTGATACAGAAAGATACAGAAAGCCATCTTTTGAAATCTTTGTATATTATAGGGGTTCATGTGCCCATTGGATATGTCTTATTCCAGCTAGAATAGGTCCCCAGCCAGCTGTGTGGGTCCCCTGGCATCTGTGTGGGTCCCCAGCCAGGTGTGTGGGTCCCGGGTTGTGTGGGTCCCCAGCCTGTGTGGGTCCCCTGGCTCCCGGGCATCTTGTGTCAGGTGTGTGGGTCCCCGGGCATCTGAAGGGTTTGGGTTGTTAAACTCTGGGACTTGGTCAGTTTCATGCTTTGATGACAAAGGATGTTGCTCATAAAATCAGTCACTGAATTGCCTGGTCTATACTTGATTAGTTACAGACCACTAAGTCTTCACAAAGCTGGATTATTGCCAAATGTGGCATTAAACTCTAAAATAAACAAATGATATATCATAGCTTTGCTGATATATATAGGCAAGATTGATAACTCTTTGTAAGAAATTGGCCTGACTAATATAACATAATGAAACCTCTTGAGCACATAAATTCTAATAGCCTTCAACCCCTCATACCCTTCACAGTAGACAAATCGAGTAATGTTAGTTCCACAGCTGCACCCGATGATCATCAAGTTTGTTCTGTCTCCGATAACATGCTTCAAGTGTATTGACTGTTATGATCATTCAGAGTCTCTGTTAAATACAGCTAAGAAAATGTTTGGCTGATCGGCAAAGTCAAACGTGCTTCACTTGATTATTTGAAGGCTGTTGTGATTCGGTGGCAATACTGCAGACTACAGTGTAAACATTTACTTGCTGTCTAAATCGGTGTTTGATGTTCATGGTCATGTGAGAATTGGTTTAACGTTGCATTCAAGACTATTGCACTTACTGGGGTGTACTTATGTTTGTTGGCACATGCATGTTTGTACATGATACCAGGTCATAGTTGAATATGGATACAATCCCTTGTCAGACACGATAGTGGCATTAGGTGACAAGTCCTTAGTTTAACAGCAACCATCTTTCAACGTCTATTAGTATGAGGTGGCCTGTGGAATAACCTCACCCAACACAACCATAACTGTCTGGGCACAAGTTAAATCAACAATCTGGATGTTTATGAAAAGTAATTGATTCACTTTTAAAACATGAATTGCAACACAGAAAATAGGAAATATATTAATATATTTTTTAATAAAAGGATATCAAATTTGACAAATATTTAGTACAAAGTAATGAACCTAAACAATTCATTCACAATAAGGATCAATGGTTGAAATTTCATTCTTATCATGAATCTTTCCCCAAAATTGAAGACAATGTTCACATCAAACTGATTGACAAATTTACAAACCTGGGGATATTCAAAAGATAACCTGACACTATTTATACAAAGGTGTATCAGAAATTTGTTAAACATATTTGTATAAAACAAATCTTTTCATGATGAATATGAGAACTTAACACAAAAGCAATTTTGGTTGTATGCAGTGTTGAAAGCTTGCAAAAAACGGACCTGCTCAGGGAAAACAAAATGTCTAGGACGTGTTTATGTATCTGGCACAAGGTGAGCAAAAGTGTCCCCCCACATCTTCAGCTTGTCCTCCTTCTTCTTCCTCTCGGCATCAGCAGCATCGGCTGTCTCCTGTTTCACTTCACTCTCATGGCGCCGCGTGCTGCCAAGAACACTGGCCACTTTGCCTGATGGCGTGAAACGCATCTCCTTCACCTCCTGCACTGTTTGGTTCTCTCTGACGTTGATGATCTTTGCCATGGCTTGTTCCTGGGGGATGGTGAGAATGGTGGTGATGGGGCCGCGCTTGAACCTCCGCATCGCTGTCACCACTCGGACTGCCATTTTAAAGCGGTTGAGAGCATTTGCGGCCTTCTTGAACCGGGCCATTCCACCACCTAAGCCAGGTTTTTTGGCCGTATCACCTCCAGCATTAGCAGTTCCAGTGGTTCCATTTTCTGAGATGGGTGCAAGGGACTGGAAAGTGGCCTTTCCGGGAGATAGGGCACGGCTGGTTTCTAGAGAGAGTAACACATCAGTTAGATAACGTCACAGGTGAAGGATAATGATCATCATTTGCTTGATAACAGTGTTAGCATCTACACCGAAATGCCATATCTATTGCAATACAGAAGTTATCTACCCATAGAAATTGTCTCTCTTCACCGTACCTGCTTCTAAATGCCACTTAAAGAAGGGAATGATGATGTTTGCATGATTTGTATTAATTATTTCGTGGAGATATTGATCAGTTTCAAAGATAAACCCTTTTTTCTATGTATAACCTACAGTGAATACAACAATACTTCAAATGGCAAATACATGAACCAGGTACAGCAAAGCACTGATTGGTGCTCCATAAAACATTGTCTGAGGTTGCACGAGTACTGAGGTGTTGAGTAACTCAAGTAAGCATGAATACTAAGTACATTATGTGATATATCCTGAACAGAAAACGTTGGGGTCATGAATAGTTTTCGAGATGTGTTCAATTGTCACCATAAAAACATATCCCCCCAAATATTCTATATTTTAATGCAGAAACATTAAGTACTCTTGTAGAGGTAGTTAATACAAAACTGATATAATGGTATTGCTTCTTCGATAAATGAAAACCAATGCCTTAGAAACACTTGTAACCATGACATTGATGGGAGCTTACAGTTACTTGCCTCATAACTATCTGAAGTTACTGACTCTGTATAAGCAAAGGCGATAAAATTAAAGATGTCTTGCAAGAAGGAATGACGTGAAACAAGGGAGATAACTATGTATACTAACTAACCTGCAGGCCCATTGAGCTGCCCGTTGATCCGGCGGCCAGCGGGGCCCATCACTCCGAGTAGCATCCCGGTAGAGGAGGCCTTATGGGCAGGGAGAACATCCTTCAGGTTGATACTGCTTGTCCCAGTACTGCAACACCAGCCATGATGGTAACTGTTAAAGGTAATGTCACATCGGCAATACCATAGCCATACGGGGACAAACCGAGCAAGGAATTATTGAAGATATATTTCCTGGCAAAACTCTGCAGAATAATATGGATCATGTCTGTCCAGACGTGCTCCCACGAACACTATTATTGACAGTGAAAAATCATTAGTCTGGAAACCCTGTCTGGTGGACAATTTCTTCTGGAAATGACTGTATGATGTGAAATTATTTTCAGTAACACTGAATTTCTGGGCTGACCGTGAGTGAGTTGGGTTTTACGCCGCTTTTAGCAATATTCCAGCAATATCACGGCGGGGGACACCAGAAATGGGCTTCACACATTGTACCCATCTGGGAATCGAACCCGGGTCTTCGGCGTGACGAGCGAACGCTTTAACCACTATGATACATAACTGGAATACCGTGAAAAGCCACATTAGACCCATCTCACTCACTCAATAACGATCCTGAGTATACATATTGTTGTACTGAGACCCTGGAAGCAGTGCACGATTGTGTAGAGGCAAGCATGGACGAGTGTTACCTGTGGTTAACGGCAACTGATCGGAGGATGTCAGTGACCATGTTTGTCTTGAGAGGCTTGGAGTTCTGTCCACAGGAGAAGCCATGTTCTGCAGTGGGATTCAGGCCCATGTGTGGTACTCTAGACGTCACTGGAAACACAAATGTGGCTGTTGACGTATGTGTACATTCTCGTGTCAGGAGGCCCTCTTGAGAAGAGGCGGCGTCACAAGGCTGGTAATGGACTTGTCAGTGTAGGGGAGAGAAGTGGTGGGCCGCTAGGATTTGTCTTTGAACTGTATCATAATTTGTTTACGGCCCCTACCTCCTCCCAAACACATTTATATGACAATGTCATTGTGTCATTCGTCATTGTGCTAACATTCAAACGTTCATTTAGGCTATGAGAGATGGTGCGATGGGCTGTGAGCTGTTGGTAATAAGTCCCATCAGCCATAGGCTATGGTTGAGAGAGTTTATCTTCCCCATGACGGGTCTAGTTCTGCAGTCACCGTGGCCACCTGATAATTTACATCGCCTTGTATCTCAAACATGAGGCAGAGGAGGCATACACTAGAATGACACAGTGTTTCCCTACTGGAGACACACCTACTGCGAATGACTGATGGCGCTGTTAATGATAATGCCCTACTATGTTACAGTAAGGCATTGTACTCACCTGCTTTGACGGAAAGAACAGACATGGACTGCTCAGCCTTGTTGACAAGTGGTTTACACATCCACACACTCTTCCTGATGGCTGGGATGCTGGGACGTCTTCTGGCGCTGGTGTCCAGGATCTGGCGGATCAGTTCTCGACAGTCTGTAAGACATAGGATAGACTGATTTGGAACTGAGTTGAAGGACTTTTCACACATGATATTGTCATTGAGTGGCTGGGTGGGTATGAGTGAGTGAGTGAGTGAGTGTGTTGGCTGGTGCATGAGTGAGTAAGTGAGTGAGTGGGTGGTTTTTTTGGGTGGATGGGTGTTTCAATGCTTGTTGTTGGTGCTCACAACAATGTACATTGCAATAGTGAGTGAGTTTAGTTTTACGCCGCACTCAGCAATATTCCAGCTATATGGCGGCGGTCTGTAAATAATAGAGTCTGGACCAGACAATCCAGTGATCAACAGCATCAGCATCGATCTGCCCAATTGGGAACCGATGACATGTGTCAACCAAGCCACCCGATCCCGTTCGTCGCCTCTAACGACAAGCATTGGTTGCTGAAGGTACTTTCTAACCCGGACCTTCACGGGTGTATTTTGCAATAGTCAATTCTACTTTTTTGTAGGTTCATATCCTTACCAAAATATAATTCGTTCAGTACATACATATAAAATGAAAAAAACCCAAAACTTATGAAATAAAAAACCCAAAATAATTATGTCGGTTTTATGTGCCTAGTTATCTCTTAAAGGTGTACTGAATTAGAAAACCGTAACTTACCTTTAGATACCTGCTTGTAGAATTTGAGTTTTTTCTCCATGGAACTCCTGAGTATGTCGACATCGGTGTCGTTGAATGGCAGCTTCCCATTCAGCATCCCATAGAGGCAAACACCTGAAGAGGGATGTGATGAGGTAGCGCTGGCATAGTTATGCGCCTAATCATGAATGGATACATACGATGTGGAAACACGAAAGAACTATGACAATATAGAGCCTGAATTCGGGACTGTACTCAGGAACGTGCATTAAATAAGATGATGCAATTATAGGTGTTATGTCTGGAAGTTTATAATAAGAATAAATTATTTTTGTAAATGCCAGTTAGAGTTAAGTTGTATTTGAATGCTGAATGATTTATAAATCAGCAAACAAAACACGACAAAAAGATGACTGACCACAGCTCCAGATGTCCGTCCTTCCACCGTCATACATTTCCCCGTCCAGAATCTCGGGGGCGGCGTACGCATATGACCCGCAGAAGGTCTCCATCAGATCTCTGTACGGGTTCAGTCGGGCAAACCCAAAATCTGAAAAACACGGAATGTTGTTTCTTTTGATAACCAACATAAAATAATTAACAATATGCTCATACAAACGTTCACATTATTTGTTTTACGCTGTACAGTGGCACTTATTTTTGTTGTTGAGAAATTGTGGGATTCGAACACACACTCTCAGAGTAGAGCCTCAGATCGCCAGCACATAAAGTCCTTGAGGATGGTACCCAACCTAAAACGTACAAAACCTTGCACTTTTCTAAGGTTTTTGTTATTGTTGGTTTGTTGTTTAACGCCGCACTCAACAATATTGCAGATATATAGCGGTGGTCTGTAAATAATTGTGTCTGGAACAGAGAATCCAGTGATAAACAGCATGAGCATCGATCTACGCATTTGAGATACGATGCTATGTGAGAAACAGGTCAGCGAGCCTGACCACCCGTTAGTCGCCTCTTACGACAAGCATGGGTTGTCTACAATTCTAAAAGACATTCTCAGAAAAGTCAGTGAAAACGATGTATGCAGACCTATCTGTGTGATATTTCGCGGATTAATATTTTTGTTTTTCATATGAACCCATTTTGGCGTAAGATTTATAAGTTTTATCGTGAGAGCTTGACATAAGTAATAATAAAAATGTGAGTCTCAAGCCAAATGCGTGAGAGTTAGCAGATGTGGGTCATGGTGTAGTTTGGGAATGGAAGCGTACCGGTGAGTCTGATGTTGTACTGGTCGTCCAGCAGGATGTTGTCCAGCTTGATGTCCCTGTGATACACGTATTGTCCGTGCAGGTAGCTGACCACATCCAGCAACTGGTGGAACACACGCCTGCCGTCCGCCTCGCTCAGACTCCCCACCTTGTTCACGTAGTCTAGCAGGTCGCCATTGGGCAGGTATTCCATTACTAGGTACATGTTGCTTCGGCTCTCGTACACCTCGTGGAGGACAATCTTGGAACATGTATAAAACATACGTGATTACCCCTACATGTAGATTTGGGTACCACAGAGACTATGGAGCAAAAGTTGGGTAGTCACAGCCGGGACTTCGTGAAATGGTGCACGTGTCAATGACAAGTCACTCTTCGTCTTTTATCAAGTTTAATCCGCCGTGTTAGCACTGACAGCTCAGTCTCGTTTCACAAATTTAAGCGATCGCAGCTAAGGTGGTCGTAAACTCCCATACTTTATCATTGACTTACGCTAGTCGTAGCGTTAAGAGCGCTTTGTATATTTTTGTAAACGTCGTTGAACTTTTAATAAGGATTTCAATTCGGAAACCAAAACGCAAAACAAAACTAAAAGGAATAAGTGGATTCGATAACCGCAGCTAACGTGGTCATAGTGATCGCAGGCACACGCCTTCATATCACCACCTGCACAATGAAATATAAATACATTATACGATATGACCGTTCGTTATCTTAAAAATACACTTAACTCTCCAATCAGTTTTATATTCACAAGTCACTCACCAGAGACGTATGCCTTAGTTTCTGAAGAAGGGCAATTTCACGTGGAAGGAACTTCTCCTTTGGCTTCTTTTGGGATTTTGCTCTTCTGTATAATCTTCACAGCAAGATTTTCATTTTTCTTTTTGCAATACGCTCTTTTTACCTTAGCGTAAGCTCCCTCTCCGATAGTCTCATGTAATGTGTATCCAAACCGCTCTAAAGCTAGCCTGTAATCTTTGGATGGTAAAATAATCCCATCCTTACTTTTCATGGACAATTCCTGATGAATTTCCACGATTTTCGTCTCGTAGGCTTCTTCCACGCCTCCTTCCATTGCTGACGTGACTTCAGCTTCGGCGATGTGGATTTGTGGCGAAAGCGTCTGTGACGTCATTTAATTATGACGTCATGTTAATCACTGGCGCTGGTCATACTCCGGCGCAGTGCATAACATGAAAGCCTAATGCTGCCATATTTGTAACATTAATTACTTTCTTCTGCGAAATATCTCTCATCTTCCATTATTTTCTCGTTGCTTCGAACAGTTTCGCGTTATTTCGATTATTTTCTTAAAATTTGGAGTATTTTCTTGTTACTTCGATTAATTCCAAGATCCGGATTAGAATTGATCATTAGTAACACATGCTTGTCGTAAGAGGCGACTAACGGGATCAGGTGGTCAGGCTCGCTGGCTTGATTGACACATGCCATCATGTCCCAATTCCGTAGATCGATGCTCATGCTGATGATCACTGGATTGTCTGTTCCAGACTCGATTATTTACAGGCCGCCACCATAAAGCTGGAATATTGCTGCGTAAAACTAAACTCACTCACACGATTAATTCCCTGTTATTTCAAGTTTCCCTCAAAAACTTAAATTTCAAGTATTTTCTCGTTGCTTCGATTATTTTGTAGTTTAAAAAGAATAGAAGCCGGGCCTCGATAAGAGTGAGTGAGTGAGTGAGTGACTTCGGTTTTACGCTGCTTTTAGCAATATTCCAGCAATATCACGGCGGGGAATACCGGAAAAAGGGCTTCACACATTGTATCCACGTGGGGAATCAAACCAGGGTCTTCGGCGTGACGAAGAAACGCTTTAACCACTAGGCTACCCCATCGCCCCGCCTCGATAAGACGCCGCACTGCTAATGTTATATTATAATGCCTCGTTACCTGCAAGAGGCCCCTTTGTATGAATGTAGAGTTAGTGATTTGGATAGGTAGTGAGAGTGACTCTATGCCAGCAGTAACCAGAATCTACGCTAGGCCTCTAATCGACTCCGGGTGAACGGGATGCACAAAAGTAATTGACGCCAGAGCGCCAACTATAGAGCGTCACGATGCTGTGGCTTGTTCATGGAAATAATATACTTTAGTAACAAAGCCTGGGAAGTGAATAGACGTTATTTCTTACATTTAAGATCAGATTAATGTTGTATCACAAACACATTTAAACAAACTCCATCGGCTGTTCACTATGTTGCGACTTCTGATAAAAATGTTTTATCTCTGTATTTTTTCGGTTAAATGTTCATTAGTTTTGTTTTATCTTTTACAACAGAATACAAACTCATACGAAAGCAAGGACTGTTAATGATAATTTCTTTGCTGCTCTGTACTGTCTTTAGGGGTGGGGTAGCCTAGTGGTTAAAGCGTTGGCTCGTACACACCGAAGACCCATGTTCGATTCCCCACATGGGTACAATGTGTGAAGCCCCTTTCTGGTGTTCCCCGCTGGAATATTGCTACAACCATACTCACTCACTCACACACTCACTCACACACTCACTTAATGTCTTTTCATACTAAGGTCGCATTCACTGGCCATCAGTTACCGACAGACGTGACAAGATGTTACTTGTTGTTAGCCTGCCTGGCGCTAGACATAATGGGATAAAGAAGGACTGCTCGGATAGCAGTTCTGTGTACTGTGTCTTGCAATAGAGGCTTTGTCGTATTTGCAGCATGGTTTCTACGTCATGGCATCTCAGTCTACGGACGCAGAAACGGACTTTCTCTTCTACCTAAGCTCCATTGAAGTACTCTCCCTGGGGCTTTTCAAACGCAATAAAAACCAATCTTTCTGAACATTTGTACATTCTGTGTGTGAGTATGGTTTTACACCGCTTTTAGCAATATTCCACAGCAGGAGACACTGGAATTGGGCTCAAAACATTGTACCCACGTAGGAATCGAACTCGGGCGTTTGGCGTGACGAGCGAACCCTCTAACCACTGGGCTACCCCACCGCTCCATAGTCTTCGGAGTTGCTGAAGATTTAGCTCAATGTTTAAATACACGTGAATACTTCTGTGATAAAACATCGGGTGTATTTTATCAAACCTCTGCAGTACATGCATAGCTTGACTAGAGCTGACCGACACATCCTTTCAATGTAGCGTGTTACCCGTGAAGATCCGGGTTAAAATTGATCTTCAGCAACCCATGCTTGTCGTATTTTCGACTAACGGGATCAGGTGGTCAGGCTCGCTGACCTGGTTGACACATAGTATCGTATCCCAGTTGCGTAGATCGATGCTCATGATATTAATCACTGGATTGACTGTTTCAGACGCGATTATTTACAGACCGCCGCCATACAGCATGAATATTGCTGAGTGCGGCGTTAAACAACCAACCAAGTAAATACTTAAAAATCGCACCTCAATGAAAAAATGTGTATAGAAAGAAATGAATTTGCAACCGTATTACCTGATGTTTCATGCTGGAGATGTAAATTTATGACCAGCCCCCAACCTTTCCCTCCATTGTCAAGGACAACAATCAGCTGTCAAGTAGTATGCAATTATTTAAATTTTAACTATAAAGTGACATTATATAATTAGAATTTGTATCCTGATGAAGTAGTCGGTGAGTGCTGACTAACCGCCAGTAAAGTATATTTGTTTGTTTTAGGCAAAGCAAAATTTAGGACAACCCTTTGCAGTGTCTGTTTTTCTAACCAATCTTTTAATTGTAATCAATTTTACACTCATAAGTGTAAAGAACACCGAGCCCAATTGGCCCAGTCGCTTAAGATGCTGCAGAGTTGCGTCCCCCTGGCATGCTAGAAACCAATGATAGTTTGAATAATTGTTGAGCGGCATTATAGAAGTTGGTAAGTCAAACAATTAAGCATACAACTTTACGGATGACAACTGCTTGTTTATTGCATAGAGAGACGTTTCGGTGTAGATTCTTACACTATTAGCTTGACAATGGTGAAAGAATCTACACCGAAACGTCTCTCTATGCAATAACTAAAAAGTTGTCATCCAGAAAGTTGTATGCTTCGATATCTTGAATCCCGCATTGCCCTCTTTACCTGTCTAGGTTTGTCAGCAGCATGCTCGTGCTCGCTGGGTTCACCTATCACTCAATAACACTGTCTCAGTGTGAGTTTAGAATAAAAGTAGGAAGGTAATAAAATTTAAGGGTCAGATGAATATTGATTTATTTATCCAAATTTGAATATTTTCTTGACTCTAAACTGAAAACATCATTCTTTCAACACAATTCTTGTTGATGAAAGACAACGTTAAAATTCACCCGTTGGCGATGTATACTCTGTGCCGTGTACAATATGCGAGTGGATTTACACATGTTTTTCACTTTCAAAGACAAAGGCATCCATACACAAATTAAGTACTGTTCGTTTGTCGAAAGAAAATAGAAACTGTCTCTAAAAGCTCCAAGAAATGTAAGCATTTCTCTACATGCCACAATTATGTCTCAATCAACATTGTACACATACGTTTTCTCTTAAAAATTAGAATCGAAAATGAAGTTAATATGTTTTTGTTCTGCATGTTTACACAACATGCATGTTTGTTTTTCGTCTGAGCTTGGCCTTTGTTGTTACAACAAATCCAATTTGTCACACAAGAGCAGATTAGTTCAGAGCTAATTTGAACACAATGGGGCCAATCAACAAAGAAGCGTAACATGTCCTCATGGACTATACACACATACTTAATTTGGGTTGTGCTCAGACTATATAAAAACCAACTGCCTAAATTTTGTTATCAGATGGATATAAGATTTTGAATCTTCACGATCACAGACAGCTAAAATAATCTATTGCTCAAGGCATCTACTCGGAAAACGAATTCTAGTCCGTCGTTCAGCAGGAGTACAACTTAAATGACTAACATTTTATTTGTACTTGCAACAAATGTGGCTGGCAATATTAAAAGCTAAGGATATTTCCACGGTACTTTCTTCAAAGTGTACATATTTGATCGTTTGAAATAGAACAGAAGCACGAATACATAACTGCTTGACTTCCCCTTGCGTCAGTTATGGGCTGGTGCATTGAAGGAGGTTTATATAGTCACTTATCAAGTCAACCTTTCTGAGTATTTCAGGAAAAGAAGATCGATTTCAGACAGTTTATCGTTTGAAATATTGAAGTAGGTGTCCATTCCTCCTGGTATCTGCTTAGTGTTGGCCGATGGAGAAGCTAGCACTAACAAATGCTAGAAGGAATGATTACCCCGAAGCAGCAGGTTTATATGATCACTTTTCAAGTCAACCTTTCTGAGCATTCCAGAAAAAGAAGATCGAATCCATGACTGCTTGACTTCCCCTTGCGTCTGTTCTGTGCTGGTATATAAACCACAACTAGCACTAGCACATGCTGGGGGAAGTTAGCAGGCAATTCAACTCTGTCAAGCTCCATCGTGCTTCAATACATTTGTTAGAAACCGAGGTCAAGTCACTGGTATTTGACAAGTGCTTGCAAAAGTTGTGGCTAGCACTATCAAATGCTGGGGATTTTCCACCGTACTTTCGTCAAAGGAGTTTGTGCGTAGTTTATCATTTGAAATAGCGAAGAAGGTGTCCATTCCGCCTGGTATCTGCTTAGTGTTGGCCGATGGAGAAGCTAGCACTAACAAATGCTAGAAGGAATGATCACCCCGAAGCAGCCTTTGTTTTCCAGATGTCGTCATCCACTGAACACGACTTGAATAAGTCATCTACCCGGAAGAGAAAATTGTATGTTTTGCAGACTGCTGTGACCAAAAACCACCATGGATTGAATGTGTGCTTAGTATTTCATTGTTGACTCCACTGGACACTAATCCTTCGCCATCATGCTAAGATAATAGATCCAATCAAGAGCTTTTGTCAGGCGATCATCTTGTTGTCGGACACCACTCAAAGTGCAGTGACATGTGCAGCTTATTGCCGTGTCAGCGTCTCCTCTCTGTCATGAGAGTGTGCTATATTATGAGAATGTATTTGCTACATCCACAGTTGTATCTTGACTTGAATACAGACAAGAGAGGAAGAATGAATTTGGATCATGAGACGTGCTACTTGATTCCTTGCCTGTGCCTGGTGCTTGTTGGACAAAGATGACTAGCACTA